TCTTGCTATTTTGACCATGTCAAATTGTATATGTTACTAATATATCCTAATACTATGAGTGTCAAAGCATTTCATCAAAAAATGTAAAAAGTTACGCTTATATCCATTATATTGATCATTTCTCGTGTTGCACGTGTGCGCTCTTGCAAGCACGTGCGCGCAAAATGACCTTCGTTCCGCAAATCTACATAACATGTCTACTGACCCTAAAAACATTTCACCTTATTCGGATGTGTAGTTTACGAGATCATTCGCGGACAAAAAAGTGCCCAGGAAGAAGAAAAATAATAATAAGAAACAGAGTAAAAACAATATGTTCCCAAACTTCGTTTGGGGAACATAATAACAATGCGGAATGTAATAAACCTTAATTATTAAATTTTGCGTTCTTACATTTTCCGTCGATATCAACGCAAAATGTAATAACAAAACATTTAATAACACAATTTTTGGATTATTTCATATTGCGTTGTTATATTTTGCGTCGAGATTGAGCAAAAGGCAAAAATGCAAAATGTAATAACACTTTTTTTTTCGTCAGCCAGCAGATTTAGTACAATTTTCAATAGTGTAGTGACCGATGAAAATAAAATAAAACAAAATAAAGATATATGCAATTTCTTTCAATTATTAAATTTTATAATATATTGATTTAATTAGCTACATGTATTTAAAATTAGTTTAATAAATGTTTTAAAATCATAGGTATTGCAAATTAGAAACGTACATCTGTGGGCAGGGTAGTTTGGGGTATTAACCAGTGTGCTTTTGTTTTTTATAGACAAATGCAATGAATTTTTTTTAAAAGGCTATTTATTTGTATTGGCAGGAGTAAATTATGCACTAGGGAAGGAATTTATTGAAAATGATATCATACTGTTCAATGCAAATCAACAGCATTGCAAACAAGCAAAAACAAAATTCTCTCTTTTTTTCCATCCAATAATAAAATGGATTGTTTCTGCGTGTCCACAGAAATACAGTAATGAATATACAAAGTAAAAACAACATCCTATCCCTGACCGGTTCATTTTTCGTATTCCCACTTTTTGAAAATCAGGTACGAAAAGTTAAGATTTCAAATGGGAATAGGTTTAATTTTTGTGTTAAAAAAATATTTGTTACTTTCTCAAATCCATATTTTTGAAGGAAATAAATAATATTTCTCACAAATTTCTGTCTTAAAATGTAAAAAAAAAATGTAAATTAAAAAATACAGGTGAATCTAAGAAGGGATGTAATTAGTATAATTATATCAATAAAACGAATTAACTATCTAAACGTCTATTGTTATTTGCAAGGCTTTTGCAAGTGGGAATAAGTGGAATTGAGATTTTTAGAAAATTGGGAATTGAATAAAATATGTATTATTGGTTAGAAATTTAATAACACTATCAAAAATATGCCAATCAAAGTTAAATTAATTCTGTATAATTAAGTACATTGTATTCAATATAAATAAAATAAGAGTCATTAAAAGGATACATTTTGCATTGATCTAGACGCAAAATGTAATAACTCAAAATGTTACAATCCAGATTTATTACATTTTGCGCTGTAACAGAGGTGTTTGCAACTGGTATTGGTACAAAATATTTAATTATTTTTTTTAGATAACAATGCCAGTTTGTAGCTGTAAAGAACATTCCAACTTTGCAAAAGATGTACCTAATAAAATATACAGACTCTCCAGCAAAAAATTCAAAACATCAGTTGTTGAAGGTCTTGTTAAAAATGGTCATCTGTGCAAAAGGGCAGTATATTTATGCACAGCATGTGCTGCTTACAGCGAGAAATGTTTAATTTCCAACGAAAAAGACGTAGAAAACAAACTGGTTGATCAAGTTATTGATTTAATTAAAAGCAGCAACATCTCTGATGAGAATGTGATTAAAATTACAGAAGCTATTGGCAGTAGGGAAAGCAGAAAGATGAAAGACGATTTTAATGAAAACATTTTTACCCAATACAAAAATGTAGATTTTTTAACATCTGCCACTATTGATACGTGGATATGTGAAAGAAACAATGTCATCTCGTCTTTGTTATTGTCACTTTGTGGGAAAAAAATGTGTGACTTATCATCCACAGAAAAAACAAAACTTATATTTGCTATCGAACATTTGTACTCTCTCATATCTGCCAACATAATCATGCCATTTTCTTTTAGTTTGAATCTGTTAACATATTACATGTCAAACAGCAAAACAGTTTGCAACATGTATTTTTCTGCTCATCCCGCTGGGAGTTACTCTTCTGTTTTGAAATGGATAGAAGACCATGCAACAACTCCTATAAGCGTTCCATTTCAGCATGACTTGATAACTTATTTTGATAACAATCAGGTTTTGGCAAGGAATTGGAGAGTGCGTTATGACGCCAAAGCTATTTTGAGCTATGTAACCACTGTTGTTCACTTTTTTCCCAATCCGACTACAGAGTTACAACTTGTGAACAATTTATCTCCCAGACATTGGTTTTATAACGTTATCATTTCTGACAAGTACAATGCTATTGTCGAATTCATCCATTCCTATGAAAATTTATTCAGATCACTACGTGAAAGTTTCATAGAAAGTAGGATAAGTTGTTTGTTACAACAACAACATCCAGGGCTGAATTGTACAGAGGACATCGTTTGTGACCTTTTGAAAAACAGGAACATGAAATTTTCAGATCACTCTAGAACACAGGTTGATGTATATTCGTTTTTACCACATTCACATACCAGTCCCCCAACTATTCAAATGGGAAATCCAATATCAGTCAACCCTTGTTCCTTTCAATCTGTTCAAGTTGTGTTAGAAAATTTAAAGTGCACTACTGGAATACCCGACCATAGACAGTGGAGTATAGTGGGATGTGATGGGCTCCCCTTCCTCCTGTCTCATAGAATTATTAAAGATAATCCACATCTTCAAGATTTACTCCTTCAGCCTGGACTGGGACATGTTGAAATAAATATGTCCAAAGGTACTATAGCTATAGCTGTCTTCTTATTATCATAAAATTGTTTACAAATTCAAGGAGCCTAAAAAATAAATCAAAGTATCTGTCTCTCTTTTCTTCAAATCCTTTGATTGCTCCCACTTTAATGCATGTTGAAATCAATATGTCCAAAGGCACTATCTATATCCATATATAATTCTATATATATGAAAATTATTTTAAAATAATAAAAACACAATTACAATTACAGCTGTCATAAAACTGTTATGGCAAGTGATAGGGTTAGATTTGGCTAAACTACTAGGCTACAGTTCACCAAAAGCACTGCAGTCCTGCTTAGATGCTAATGATCATCACAAGGCCATGCAGTTTATTGAAATTCTTCTTTTCGGAACAGGTCTGTAAAAAAATGACAACCATTTTAATAAATAGAAATGAAATCAATATATACATCTTATTTCTGTTTCAAACATAGCTTTAAATATAAGCATATCCTATTCCTAGGAGATGAATTATTGTTCCCCTACGTTTTTCATTGTTCGGAGAGGGAAATGGTACCCTCTGGAAAAGGGTTTTCGACTGGTGTAAGGAAGTAAAGGATCCGAATTACATGTAAATAACTGAATATTATGAATTAATATGTCTATATAATAAAAGATTTTGTATTAATACACAGTTTACGTACATGTAATGCAGGTTCTTGCTGGAGTCTATATTTACCTATGCACTAGCAGTGTACATGTTTAGAGCCGGCATAAGGCGTAATAACAGTGACGTCATTATGGCCTCCAGACTGAAGTTTTTCCCTCTTTACTTTGGTGTGTCTAAAACAAACTACCAGCAAATCGAGCTATTAGACATCATCATGAGAGTATGTGCACCAACTGAAGTCCTCCAATTCATCCAGGAGCACGAGTCTTTCTCTCGTAAGACAGCATGCCCTAACCCCCAACTGCACAATAATGCCAAATGACGCACTTAAATACTAACTTTATTTCATGTCGATGTTGTAAGGCGATATTTGATTGGTAAATTTTCGTACACTTGATTTGATTGGGTAAAGAACTTTGCGTTTCGTTTTTTCCTCATATGCATATGACATATCATCAAGATGCATAAAATTATGGAGAAACTATGGACATTTTTAAATACAGTATCAATTATGAAGTTTTACCCAAAAATATTTGGTTACATGATATATAAATGAGAAATCCAGATTTAATCAAGGTTGTACGGGGATTTGTTCCAGTATTTATTCCATCCACCCTCAATATTTAAGGGCTAAAGGATGCATGCAATAAGACCCCTTTCAATTTTTTTTATATTGAATCTTTTTTCATTCCTATCAATGAATGTAGGAAAATGATTAAAAATTTTCAATAAAATGAATATTTAGAATCTGGGAATGCGAGCAAAGGTGAGGGATGCGATCAATTTTATATTGGAGGCGAAAAACAGACAGGCAAAAAGCTGGCTTCCCAGTGGCGCACCAAAGGAGAAGCATTGGATGCAATGTTGCAGAAATCTAGATAATCTCGAAGATGCAAGTATTTTGCAGACATTTTAATAAAATAAACATTAATAAAAGAAAGAAAACAATATAAAACAAAGTAGGAAGATAATTTTATTACAGAATTTTCTATCTATGGATAGGACATTTAAAGTTTGTTTTCTTTAAAATGGCATTTGAAGAGAAATAAAACCCCATACACTGATCATGTACCCAATACCCACATCGGGCACGGTCACACCCAACCCAATGTCCACGTGTCTGTGTTGTCAAACATACATTACAAGTATCGGGCACTTTAGAAGTGATGCTTTCAGTTTGAGTGCATTTGCTTTTGTACACGGCTTTGTCGACCCTTCTCTTCTTGGCAGTCTGATTTGCAGATGATCTCTTTTCTCTTGATTCAGAGTTAGTACATGTATTAGGTGGGAGAAAGGTGGGTTGAGGAGATGGAAACGAAGGAGAGGGAGAGGAAAGAGAAAGTTGTGGGGAGGGTGTTTGTTCTCTGTTAGGAATTTCATGTACCTCCGCTCGTACTACAATGTTAGTTCTGATAGGTTGGGGTGATGGAAAAGAGGAGGTAAGGGGGGAAGTGGAGGAAGAGGAAGTGGGTAAATGAAAGGATGGATGTGAAAGAGGTTGTACTGATACAGAGAGAGGGGATGCTGTAGAGGTAGTGGTTGTTGAAGAGGGAGGGAGTGCTGTAGAAGAAGGGGTTGCTGTAGAAGAAGGGGGTGCTGTAGAAGAAGGGGTTGCTGTAGAAGAAAGGGGTGCTGTAGAGGGAGAGGTTGCAGTAGCGGAAATAGATGCATTATTTTTGTTAAAGGAAGACATCAAGTGTCGCAAGTCCTGGAAAACAAATCATATATACGAGTACATGTACATCTATATATCATCTTATCAATAAAGCATACACATAAAAAGGTCCTTATTTAAAAGTGTTTATATATATATATATATAAATATATATATATATATTTTTTTACAAATTTCCATGATTATTTATACCTTTTCATAATAGGCGGAGGCATATACCGATCTTTTTCCGGATGAAGTTTTAATAATGAGAAGAATTTCACTCTTAGTCGTTTCGTGAAAGTTTTTTGCCTGCAATGGAAATTAAAAAAAAAACACCTTATTTTCTTGCTTGTAAAGGAATTATTGGAAGTTGAAATGCATAGCTACAACCCTTCCTCTAAACGAAAATGGTTTCCTATTTAAAGTCCTAATTAGGTACATTTATACTTTGAAATAAGGATTTTAGATTGTCGTAATATTTAAACTACTCTTAAACATTAATCTGTTTTTACAGATTAAAAAGAACATCAAATCACAATTAAACATCAGAGATGGTGCTGATGATACCATATACCACACCGATCTACAAAACGAAGTATTGCAGTGGAGAGCTCAGATACGAGAAGCAGATTACTTCATTTCTCCTCATTCACCAAAAGATCATACTTCTCTTTCCAACAAATCTTTAGATCCAGACCTAGTAAATTTTTCCCAGAAGTGTAAAAACCATCGATTGCGTTACATCCAGGAAGCATCCAAAATTAATTCAGTTAAAGTCTCTCTCTCTCTAGAACCAATTTTTTTCACGTCTTTTGATAAAACCCACTATCATGCAATAGAGAATAAAACAAAAGCAGAAATTGCCTCCATAATTAATGAAAACATCCAGAAACTCCTAGATTTGGACTATGAGGCTGGTACGTCCAATATATATTTATGCTTCTAAATTCTAATATTCACTTCGTACCCGACCATAAATAAATCTCCTACTTATACATGTATTGTTTTTATTATATCAAAATAAAGGAGAAGACATGAGATTGAAATGGTTGAAGGAGTTCAAAAACGGTTCCAAGAACTTATACATCAAATTCTATAAGGATTTGACGGAGCTGTTAGAAAATGCATTCGGATGTGATTGATGATAAAGGTACAAATATTACTTTTTACCTTTTTTAGCAGTGTGGTTTTCTTTTTATAAGTTGAATTATGTCTCATAGAGGCATCTTCAATAAAACTTTCACTTGCGGGTCCGCTTCTTTTTTTGCCCCTCTTCTTCTGGCCTTTTTGGTTTTTACCGGGGTTTATTTTATTTTCCTATACAAATATAAATTAAAGAAATAATAATGACATTAAAAAGGAATAATTAACCTTATATTTCATCCATATTTTAAAAAAAAACATATTTCTTCATGTTATTAAATGTACTGGAATATTGTACAATTTTAACGCTATTGTGCCTCCGTAGATTGTGACCTGCAAGATGATGTGCCAGCTGATTCCGCATCTAATGTTTAGTTTGCAGAAATCAGTTCCGGTGTAGTGGCATTTAGAAGCGGGAAGCCATCATACACACCACAAAGTAAGTGTTGTCTATGCATTTTTATCTAGTTTTGCCATTTTTTGACCCCGTTTCTCTACATGTAAACAGGACATGCAAAAATATAATAAGTTCGTTTTAAATTAACGCTTCCGTCAACAGCAAATTATCTTTGAACGTTAATTTGACATGTATAAATCTTCGATAAAATGCACTTACCATCATGCGTTTTCTTTTCTTTCGGGTAAACTGGAATTATTTTGGGCAATTCTTCCACTCTTTCAATATTCGAAGGGCCCAGCGCTTCGGACGCAGCGCTTTTATAATGTAATTTTTGTTTGTGAGTATTTATAATGCACGGTTGAACTTGTTGACAAGTGCTCATAATGCGACTCTCTCGTTTTTATTTTTAAGAATTTTTTTTCAATATTTCACATTCCAAATAGCTTAATAAAGCTATTTTTTATAGCTTTATTAAGATATATAGCTTTATAAAGCCATATAGCTTAATCAAGACATTGTGCTGGACCTGTTTAAAACCCGGGGGAGGAAAATAATTTACAGACAGATACTTTTGAAACGAATACATAATTATCTCACCAGCATGTCATTGTGCAACAAAGTCGTCAGCATTTTATTTGTCCTTTGAACGGGTGAAACGTTTTGAATGGCACTCTTATCGATGAATTTTACACTAAACCAAGCTATCTTCTCAGACCTGTCACCTAGCTTTATTTACCCACAGTTTCATCGTAAAAGCGGAAGTGTGAGTTCGTAAATTTGAAATCTCGATCCCGACTCAAATTTGACATCAGAACGAAAAAAATTGTTGTATTTTTTTCTGAAAATTCAAAACCTTGAGCGGAGGGTTTATAAAACTGAAAATAAAATAAATCCTGGCCTTAAATATGTAATTAGATCATTAGCAAATTAACCAGGAGCAAAGGATAAGATGTTCAAAGAATTCATGCATTTCACTATATAATCATTAGAGCCCCACCCTGAAACAAGAACCCCTGACCCTGGGGCCATAAAATTCAAAATTTTGGTAGAGGCACTCTTGCTCATCATAACTATGTACTTAGTTAGTGTATTTAATACCCAGGAGCAGAGAAGAAGATTTTCAAAGAATTCATGTATTTTCACTATATAATCAATAGAGCCCCGCCCTAACACCAGAACCCCTGACCCTGGGGCCATAAAATTCACAATTTTGGTAGAGGCACTCTTGCTCATCATAACTATGTACTTAGTTGGTTTATTTAATACCCAGGAGCAGAGAAGAAGATTTTCAAAGAAATAATGCATTTTCACTACCTACTTATTTAGCCCCGCCCTAGCACTAGAACCCCTGACCCTGGGGCCATGAATTTCACAATTTTGGTAGAGGACTCATTGCTGATTACAATCATGCAAACAGTTTGACTGCTTGACGTCCAGGAGTAAAGAAGAAGATTTTTAAAGATTGCATTAATTTTAGTGGTTTTGGCCCCACCCCTCAGGCCCCAGGGGGGCAGGGACCATGAAATTCATAATTTTTGTTCCCCTTCACCCACAGATGCTGTATACAAAATTTGGTTGAATTTGGTTTATCGGTTTCAGAGAAGAAGCTGAAAATGTTCAAATGTTAACACACGACGGACGACGAACGACGGACGCCGACGGACAAACACTGATGGCAATAGGTCACCTGAGTGACTCAGGTGACCTAAAAATCAAAAAATCAAATTATGATGAACTTGGTTTAACTTAAATTTTTGTAAACCCGATATATACTTTGTCGTTTCACATCGGTACGTTGATTGAAATGTTTGTTAGAGGTTATGTACATTTCAATTTAATGAAAATTAGATCTTTGATCGGCTAGATCCGCAATCGAAAACTTTAATTAAGTACATTAGTGTACACTTTTGTTTTTACTTCATGGTTGTAGCGTGTTTCCTCTGTTGGTTATCAATAGTACGATATTGGAATCTACTAAGCTAACTTCACCCTGGTCATGACACTTTACAAAAATGTTTCAAAAATCAAATGACTTCTGAAATTTTTTTAAAGCTAAAGTTAAAGTATTGGTATGCCCTTTTTCAATTGTTAATTATTGCATAATGCTGAGAATTTTTACTCTTTTACTCTCCCGACTTTGGTATAACAAGCCCATGTGATTGTTTCATTTAAAAATTGTGCATGCTTTTATAGTTCTTTTGTCCCGGCTCGATGGGCGGAGTTATAGAAAAGTGTGGGTTGTGTACAGAAAACCCACACTTTAAACAAAAGAAATCACACCCAACTATGGTACAAATTAGTGAGTCTACATTTGTGCCAAGTTATATTGAAATCAGGCAAAAACTATAGATAAGGAGTACGGTTTTAAAGGAATCTCCCAAAAAATTTTATTTTTAGTAACGGCTAATTGTATTTGGCGCGTCAGCGCGTCCATCTCATCCCAACATCACAAAAGTATTTCCTCCCTGCATTAAAACGCTCAAAATGACAGCAATTTTCTTTATAATTTAAGCATTATATATAACTTGGCACACAAGTAGACTACACTAAGATACATAATTCTGATTATCGGTTTTTGTTTTAGGAAATGTGTTTTTAGTCTGATTATACTATAATGTGGCATGCAAGTAGACTACACTAAGAACATAGAGAGGCTTAATCAAGGATCATTATTCTATTTATTGCTGTTGTCAAGTTTCAATTCCCAGCTTTTCTCTTCCTTTGCTCTAAGTACAAACCAGTAGAGCTTCAGTCTCGACAGAGCCTTCTGGTTTGATTTCGAAGAACGGCATTGCCGTGGTTACTAAAAATAGAAATTTTTGTGAAATACTTTTAAAATGCTACTCTTCCTACAGTTTTGGTTTGATTTCAATATAACTTGTCACACAAGTAGACTGCATTAAGATACATTATTCTGTATATTGGTTTTTGATTTCAATGAACGGTGTTGCCTTGGTAACTAAAATGCTACTCTAAATACAGTTTTAGTCTGATTTTAATATAATCTGGCATGCAAGTAGACTACACTGAGATACATCATTGTCATTTTTTTTTTTATTTTGATGAATGATGTTGCCATGGTAACTAAAATTGAGAATTCTGTAAAGTTTGATTAAAAGCTATTCCTACAGGCGTAGTCCTGTTGCAATCTTGCCACAAAGAGACTTAATCAAGGATCATTATTTTATTTATCGCTTTTGTAAAGTTTAAGTCCCAACTGCTACTTTTCTCGTCCTTTATTATAAGTACAAACCAGTATAGCTACAGTCTCGACAGAGACTTCTGGTTTGTTAGGTGGATCCAGAAAATTTTCCCTAGGAGGTGGTGGCTCAAATCGCAAGGGGAAGAGGTCCGAAGCATAGCTTAAGTAATTTTACTATGTCAGTTTAAACAAGAAAACATTGAAGTAACCATCAATTTTCGCCCGGGAAATAGATAAAGTAAACACTCTAAATGAGTCTTAATCATCAAACCGCTTCGATGTGTGTGAAAAAGGTATGCGTCTAAACGATGGAGACGATAGTCGAGAATATTTTGAAAACTTATAGTCGGATGAAAATCGAACAAGAAAGATGCCCTTTTAAACTTTATCAAATATTCAAGTAAATGTTGGCTGCATAAAATATACATTAAAACCAGACACATGCATCACCTATTTTCAAAAATGTATTTCACTTTAAGAATATAAAACACGAGCTGTATACAGTACGTTTTTATGCGATAAGTGAGATTCGATGTTCTAAAAAAAGGGGGGACTTGTCGTTTTTGCTAGCGCTAGCAACTACTTTAGTCCAAATTCCTTGAATACGCATGCTCGGCTTCACGGTCGTGAAATCTGGGAAAACTGTGAAAACTACAATAGATAGACAGTACGATAACAATTTCGTTGTATCATGTTGTAGCATTAAATAACTATGTTTATTTATTGTGTAGCTTACACTTTATTTGTAATACTTCAAATTTTCCGGGTTTTTTTTCTGACGGAAAAACCTGAGTCATTATCTGATTGTTCTAAACAAAGACAGGGGATGTTTTTTTTTTTCACGTCTAAGCACAACCCAAGATAGACTCTAATTTCTGATTGGTCAATTCAGCCAATCTTACACATTCCAGAAACAAGGACATACACTAAAAATAACGAATAAATCCATCATTTCTTGACAAAGATGACCCAAAGGACCAAGCTACTTCGCATCTTCACATTCGGAGCTCTCTGGATTTCTTTATACATCATACACTCTGAGTTTTTCTATACTCCTTTAAACTCCCCTGTTTTTTCTTTGCTACATTACCAAGAAATTCTATTCTTAAACCAGCTCATACAATGCCTCAATCGGTATCTTCTCCATATTATATAGAGTCTCCCCCCTCTCTAGTAAAGGTCATAAATGTTCCGTTGCGCCAAAAATCCAATAGGTCACACCCCCTTCCCCCGTCGTTTCTTTACCTATGTGTCTCTAATTAAAATACACTTCACAAAAAAATTATAACTTAATCACTCTCCAGCCTCGATAAGAATTAAGAAATCCAGCAAAATAAATCACTTGATCATGGATTCTCCATTCTGTGTTTAAAAATTGCTTCGGCGCTAGGACACCGATCTTTTTTAAAAGATTAACTTGTTTGATAGTAAATGATAACCAACTTTATATATTAAATATAAAAAACATATATATTTTTACAGATTCACTCTGTGGAAGTAAATATATTGTTTATCTCGTAATTTATCAAGGGAAGGAACATTCTGATTAACAATTTTTTAAATGTTTTGAAAACCTTTAATTCTGAATAACTTCTCCCACCTCAATTCCCATACACCAACACCTAAACTTATATGTATAGAGCAGCCCGGTCCTCCGGGCTGTAATAAATGTGAATTTTCCAGGGATCCGGATCCCCTTTGCATACATGCGTTACCATAATTTGTACAAGAGTAATCCGAAATTTTACCCCAATATTTTGAATTGGCAAACTTTCAATTTCTCTCTCAATACATACATCCATATATATATACATCTCCAAAGTTTGACTATGATATTTAGTGCTTTAGATTTTATTAATTTACTTTATGTAGGCGTTGGAACCGGGGGGGGGGGAGGGGCCTACAAAGACAGACATAATATAGGTAATAAACATTGGGGCGTAGGTATAGCGCCCCCCTTTCAATAGGCACGTTGCAGTGTAGTCGAAGAAGGGTAAGTGGTGGTGTTTGAAAGAAAGATTTGGTACGGAAAGAAGTTAGGGTTAACTAACCCGGACAATAGACACATTCACCCCCCCCCCCTTTTTTTTTAGCTCGTTAATATTTTCAGGTTCGAATTTTTTCTTTCACTTACTACCCCCCCCCCCCCCCCCACA